TGGTAGACTTCAGATAGTTAGTAGGCTTATCAGTGGGTGTATTCAGAGTAGATCTTCGAGTAGTAGATGTGTGAGTGCATGTAAGTAGGGAGAGAAGACACAGTGAGGTGGTAGACAGAGAGAAGATCAAGATAGAGAGAAGAGTTCTGGAGAGAGACGTACCTGAGTGAAGATACGGGATACTTGGGTTGTGCTGTTGAGTGCTGGCGATTGAAACTCTTCTTTGCTCATATGATAATTTGTTGAGATTATAAGCTGTGCTACCTGGTCTTCATCTTTCTGGTCTCCAGTGTGAAAATTTGTGTGATTTCATACATGCATGTGGTATGATTGTGTGCGCTCACTAGTCTTGAACTAATAGGTTCATTGCAAAGAAAAAGAAGAATTAAGAAGAAGAAGAAGAAGAAGAAGAAGAAGAAGAAGAAGAAGAAGAAGAAGATAAACACAAGCAATAACTAATCTCACTTCTCCATCAACTGACCAACATCGGAACATCTGCCGCCTTCAACATCTCCCCCAACATCTTATGGATAATAATAATTGACAACAACAACAATGAATGAATGAATGAATGAATGAATGAATGAATGAATGAATGAATGAATGAATGAATGAACCAGAATCAATGTTAGAATTATTCTCCCTTTACTGCCAGTCTCTCCAAAAGTCCATCATAGCCATCCCTCCGATTGGTTTGCCATAGCCAACGGCTACTTGGTCAAGCTGTTGGCTATGGTGGACCAATCGGAGGAGGACTCCGATGTTCAAAGGACAATGCAAAGTCAGTATGGCCGCCATGCCTACCTCCACCCCCGGAGTCTTCATTCCAGATGTCACCCCACTTGGGGCCTTACAGCGCGAACCAAGAAGAAGATGAAGATGCAGACCACCATAGTCAAGGTAAGCTCCTTCTTCCCTCTCCTCGTCCTTCTTCTTCTTCTTCTTCCTCCCCCTCCTCCTTCTTCCGCCCTCTTCTGTGCTCCTCCTTGGTGCTTTCCGCCATAGACGTGGTGGATGCCAAGCCCCGCCTTCTTCCTCTGCCCGGTGCTGCCGCAGCTGGGTGAATGCTCCAGCAGCGTGCCTTCGAGCTGCAAGCAAGCAAATGAGGCTGAGCCCTTCCGCTCCCCACTCGATATACTGGAGTAGTGCCTCTTCACGCGGTTGCTTCTACGCCTCGTGGCCTCCTCTACCTTCTTCCCCCGAATACAACGTACGGTCATTATAGCTGTATTTTGACTGAAAGATACCGCAGACACAGCTATAATTACCGAACGTTATGCAGAAAAATAAACTGAACAACTGTTTTTTTTTGTTTTTTTTTTCCCCCCAAATGCAGTCGGGAACCGGGCCCGGCGTCCCTTATATTTCAAAAAGCCAGGAAACGGGCCTGGCATCCCTCACAAAAGGTAGGTGGCCCCATCGAAGGGCGAGACATCACCGGTCAAGCCCTAAGATCGGACCACTATGTTACTGCTAACCCTAAGATCCATGAATCTTTTGTCAACAACAAAATACTAGCAAATTACTATTTCTAACACCAAGCCTGCAGAATCCTATTCTCTATGTCTGCAATCCCGCAAACTTAATTTCCATTAGCTGCAAACCCCGATCGTCCAACCCTAATTTCCACTGTTTCAACCACACGGCAGGTTCGATAACAACAGCTAGTTTCTATAGGCCAACAAAATCAACAAGCCAACATAAACCTATTCTCATTGCTACCTGCAATCCCGCAAACCTCATTCCCCGTAGCTGCAAAAGTCCGGTGTCGAACCCTAGTTTTCACCAACCATAAACTGACAATCACCTACAACATATCAATTCCACAATCTAACTATTTTCTTTACATAACCATATTCCTCGTCCGAGGTAAACACAATTTCCACAATCGTTCAAAACATAATTCGTATTGTCTGCAAGGAATACAGAAGGCAGCAGACGTAGAACAAGCCCTAGTTTCAACAACAAAATACTAGCAAATTACTATTTCTATCACCAAACCTGCAAAATCATGTTCTCCGTGTCTGCAATCCCGCAAACTAAATTTCCATTAGCTGCAAACCCCGATCGTCCAACCCTAGTTTCCACAGTTTCAACCACACGACAGATTCGGTAACAGCAGCTAGTTTCTACAGTCCAACAAAATCAACGAACGAGCATAAACCTATTCTCATAGCTCGTGCAGCCAGCTCCATCGCACCGCGGCATTCTATCGTCATACAGCTCTGGCAAATTTTCGCCGCAGGCCGCCCACAATTGCTCATAGGCAGGATAACCCCGCAGCATCTCCATATCAAAGACCGAAGGACTAAGCACTCGATCGGTTCCATCAGTTGTGAATCAGTTATAATCCAGCTGAAACTCTGGCAAATCGCAATGCTCGGATCCCGCCCGTCGAACGTCCACACGTCTGCCACCATCCTTCCACGTTCGAACAGGATTGCTAACCCCAGTCAGCCGGGACTGGCCCATGGCAAGGGCTCTTCAGACCCTCTTGCAGCGTGTCCCACTTAGTGCCCACACACTCGATCCCCCACACTCCCACCACCCCAGCAACAAGCTGTGGCTAGGCACCACCATCTTCTTGAGAGCACCCGTGCGATCCCCCGATGCCCAAGCATCGCCCTGACGGCGCTGACACTGAGACAGTGCAGCAACATCAACAAAAATTCGAAACGGGCGCCTCACGCCCGACGCCCCGGCCAGCTTACGCAGCGCTGCGCTAACGCTTACGCTGCGCACAGGGTCAAATCGAAATTGTTTACCAATTCTGAAAACAAAAATAGATAATTTCGAAGTACACATTCCTGCAATCAGACTTGTCTTCGCCTTCGACCTCAGCATGCATGCAAACAGGTGACGTTCACACCTGGCACAGCAGCGCCCACACAAAGCTCAGAGATAACGTGGTCAGGAACACAGCTCAAATTCGAACTAGTCTTGAATGGCTATGGCGCATGGGCGCCAGACAAGGATTCTCACTCGATCAGCTGTATCCCCCAACAACTTATTCTCACACATGCACGCTCACGCTAGGCTCTCCCTGCTGTATCCCCTTAGTCTAGAATCGCGCCCAGGTGCAGCCATGTCCTGCACACGCACACACACACTCTGACACTCACACGTATACACACACACACACACACTCTGGCACTCACACGTACACACACACACACACGCACACACACACACACACACACACACACACACACACACACACACACACACACACACACACTAACCTCCTAAATGACAGCTATGGCTGCTGTCTACCTCTTGCTACTAACTCGCGGCTATGGCCGTGTCTTCCTCCTCGTAGCCTACTTCCTCTTCGGGCACCTGCAGACCTCCATACACAAGACACACAGACAGCGGTTCCGCAAGGCTCACATGCAGAATGAATCCATGACTTGACGCTGCCTCTGTTTTTATACTTCGGACCGTCGCTGGTCTGCCCTTGGACTAGTATGCACAGTCCCACATGGTACTCGCTGACTTGACAAAGTGCGACCTGGGACTGGGTACCGCTGACTAGGATAGGTAGGACTGGGACTGCCCTTTGCTGACTGTGCTAGGACTGCCCTCTGCTGACTCAGACGCGGACTGACTAGGCTCACAAAAGGCCACTTCCGGACGTTCAGAAGGTCAACGGGACTTGACCTTTCGGAGCTGTCGCAGCTTCGACCTAAGCTGCAACTAAGACCTCTAAGACTTAGACCTATGGTTCAAGACCCGATGACCGCACTATTTACAACAGCTGAACATAGGACTTTCAGAACACACGTCACGGGTTCAAACACACAACTGGTACTCTACATGGGTGAAGGGGAGGTCTAGGGATCAAGCCCTGGGTACTGCATCTGCTACCGTAACGGGTGAAAACCGTGTCATTCCTGAGAAAGAACAATGCCGTCCAATTGCAAAATGAAATGAATGAACTTGAGAGAGGAGAGAGAGGGAAAGAAGAGGAAGAAGAAGATGGAAGAAGGAAAAAGGAGATGTACACCAGCAAATACCATTGAGAAATTCCCTTCTTCACCAACACTCTCCTCCTCCTTATCTCCTCCCCTCTTATTCAAACAAGAAATAATAATAATAATAATAATAATAATAATAATAATAATAATAATAATAATAATGTTGAATGGCTGAACCAGAATCAATGTCCGAATCCCTCTTCTACTGCAGGTATCACATGAGGTCCACCATAGCCATGGCCACCCTTCCTCCTCCTTCCTCCAAGGCCCCGAGGCTATGGCGGACTACCAGGGCATCGCCCTGCTGTGCAAAGGGCAACACAAAGCAGCTATGGTTGTTCTAGCTCAGGCCGCCCCGCCTGACTCTGCCTCGAAGCTTCTTCGTGTAGCGCTACCCCAACTCTGGTAGCCTAGATTGGATTGGGATTGGGTTATCAGTTTAGGATCGGTTCAAAATGCCCAAAAATCAAATCCAGCTGTATGTGGGCGATCTTTCAGTCCGGATACAGACAGCTATGCCTCTTCCGAATTTAATTCAATGTTACTTGTTTAAGCGTCACTTGCTATGCTAGGTAACTTAGGTTGGGTCAACTTGTGTTGGGTCAATGTCGCTTCTGCGGGAATTTTCCTTGATGGATTTGATCAATTTTGATGTATTTGGGTGAAGTTTTAGTCCAGGTACAGCTATGTCTCAGCTCAGGTTTCTGAAAGGTCCTGCCGCTTCTTTCTTTTCGTGATGCTCAGGTTGAATCGGAAGCTCATGGCAGAAGACATCCTACAGCAACTGGAGAAATTTTATTGTTTGGAAAAGCTGGTAAGGGATCTTATTTATTAATTTATTAATTTTTTTAACAGGTCCTTATGGTCCTGGCTCCATTTCCCTGCTGGGGAGCATCAGTTTGGTTCCTTTCCCACCGGCACGTCATTAGAATATTACATCATAAAACTCACCCACGCTTCCTCCCGTCTGGCCAAAGGAACCCCGATCAGCATTGATTACTCCAATAATGAGGAGGATTGACTGTTAGCTTGCCCTGTTTACACCTTTCCTCTCAGGATTACTATAATAACATGTCAGATAAAAAGTGTAGAGCAAGAAAGGTCGACGAAGCAACATCTTGCTACCAATGCTGTCAAAACCCTAAGCCCTACAGGTAGGCATTGTGAACTCTTTTCAATTTTAGCCCCTGCTTGTCTTGTTTATGTCCCAACGCTCAGCCCTAAACCCTAAACCCTAAAGAAGATTAATCCTTCTCCATGTGTTCCATGTGAAGCACTGGCTTCCACCTGTCGCGCGTGTATTTCTTCGAGGCACAAACTAGAGCTGGTTCCTCAAGTACCTGGGTCTTCTGCTGGAAAGGTTCCTGATCGGTAATGAGGATTGGAGGATTGACTGTCAGCTTGCCTATCCCTGAGTCCCTTCTCAAATCCCCTCTGTGATCCCTCTGCAGGGAATCAGTTAGTACAACGATAAAACAAGCAAAGCAGAGGTCAGAACTGATATAATCATTGGATCATGTCATGTTGCTCTGAAGTCTTGCTGTTGGTCATAATGTAAATTATGTGTCCCCTGGGCGGCCACCGAGTTATGCCAGTCTTGGCATCTAATTTGCGATCCGTGAATCTCTTCGCGATCTTTCCGTGGGCCAGCCAAATTTTCTTGAACTTTGATATTAGCTCTTGCTGCTTCTCTGGGTCCTGTTGGATTTGTAGTGTGACTTTCTTCCACTGGCATCGGATCTCCGTCTCCATTAGAGGTTTTGTCATTGCCCATATCTGTTCACTCGGGTTGCTTGACTTGTCGATGGTCCTGCAGCACCTCTCCTTCCAAATGACCCAAAGTGTTACCTTCCTGATTATCCTCAACCAGATGCATTCAGATTTAGTAAATTGGGTTGGGATGTTAGTCCATAAAAGGTTCCGAGCGGCAGCGCCGGCAGTTCTGCACTAGTCCATAAAAGTAATTGGATCGGGTGTTGGGGAAGGGAGGAGGGAAAGAGGGAGTCCCAGAGTGTTGAGGCTCTCGCCCATAGTTCAGCAGCGAATTTGGAGGTTATGAGACAGTGAATTAAATCTTCTTGTCCATTGTCCGAACAGACCACGCATTGTTCTGAAACTATTTGTGTCACTATTCTTTCTACGGACGTGTAGCCAAGAGTTTACTGGGGGGGCATTGTATGTGATCAACCATTGAAGACTTCTGATTTTGACTAGGCGTATTGATTTGTATTTCATCCAGGGCAACTCGGAGATTGGTTCCATTCTCTGTCCTAGCAGTTTCGTCCATCTTTTTTTTTATTACAGGCTCTGGGTCCTTTGTTTTCAGTAGTAGTCTGTATCCCATTCTGACTGTGTAATGGTTCTTATGCCTGGGGTCTTATATGCTCTGTTACTGCCTGAGGTCCAGGCCCATTCCTCTGCGTCAGATTCTAAATCTTGAATTGCTGTATCTACTTGGAATATAGTCTTCGGCCAGGTACCCAATGTCCTTACTTTTTGAAGAGTATATGAGTTATATGAGTTCAGGATCTCTTCTTGAGGATCAATGTTGTGGATTGTTAGGGTTTTGGGGTTGGTCCGATCTATTGGAAAGGAGGTAAAGACTCCTGCAAAGTCTGATCCAGGAGATCTGCGATAAAATTGATAGGCTCTCTGTGGTAACGTTTCCTGGATTAGAACTCCCCACTCCCCTGATTTCCAAGAGAAGTCCTCCTTTAAACCACCAGTACTTGGCCCAGCTATCGTTGCCGAGCCTGGAATCCCCCTGCGCGCCAATTTTTGCCGAAGCGCCAGGGCACCGTTTTGAATTTTTTTCGCTGGCGTTTTCAGCCGTTGAGGTCCGGTACCCCGAAGCCCGAACTTTGCGTAGCGTTAACGGCAACGGCCCGCGGCCGATGTATGGGCCAAGTACTGGTGGTTAAACAGGTCCTTCCAGCTGACCGGAACGCTGTTGATTATTGTTGCCAGACTCTCATCTCGGTGGTGACAGCCCTTTAGGCGTGTCCTCAGCTGTTCCTCACAGATCCAATCTTTCCCTTCTTCATCCCAAATGTGACTGACACGCCAGACCCCATGTCTGATCCAAGAGAGCCATCGGTGCCCATTTGTAAGTGACAGTGGGTGCCCCCCCGGCATCCCTTACACATGGGTTCCCGAACAGGGGTTGAGGTAGGACTTCCTCTTTGGACTTAGGTTTCTTGACTTTTTTTGGCATAATTTCTCTCCAAATGTGGGTGAGAGATGTCCAATAGGGGGTATTTGGTTGCACCTCGTTAAGTGACGAGTTTGTGGGTCGTCTCCTTCTGCCCATCTTGGGTGTCCATTCTTTGTTCATTACCCAGAATAGGCCACCCATATTGAGTGGGCTCTGGAGAGAGCCTATATCTCTGATGCTATGGAGGGCCAGTTTGTGCCAAGCCAGTCTAGGCTGGGTTAGTAGCTTGACTATCCACTTGATCTGGAGGGCTTTGGTTTCCTGTTTGGGGTCGATTATTCCTAGACCTCCCTTTGATGTCCTCCTCGTTATGTAGTGCCAGGCTATCTGTTACATGCTGCGCCTGCACGGGCCATTTTCAGGCCCGTGTCGTTTTCAGCCCGAAAGCCTGAAAACAAGGGCCTACAGGCCCTGTGTCATTTCAGCCTGAAAACAAGGGCCTACAGGCTCTGTGTCGTTTCAGTCTAAAACAGGGCCTTTCCGGCCCTGAGTCTTTTCAGCCTGAAACGGAGGGCCATTTTCAGGCCTTCATAAGATCGACCTGCCTTGAAACTCAGGCACCAGACCAGGGTTTTAGCTCAGGCCATTTTTGGCCTATTATATTTTCAAGACAACCTTTGTTTGAGCTTCAACCCCAGGGTCTGGCACGTTTTGGCATTGGCAAGAGAAGCCTCCTGGACGGGCCAGCACTATATAAGACTGGCCCGCTCTGCAGGCCGTAGGTAGCTCATAGGGACTTCCCAGGCACTTCACGTGCAGTTCAGGAGGCAGGAGGTAGTCTTCAGGATTTGGCAGCAGCACTCTGGAGGAGCGCTGCAGTAGTAGTAGTAACGTTAGCAGTAGTCTTCAGCGCTGGGCGCTAGTAGGAGCTAGAGTAGTTCTGGAGAGAGAGAGAGAGAGATTGGGCGGAGGCCAGGGAGACTTACCTGCAGCGCCATAGCTCCAACTTCGTCTTCGAGGTACCTGCAGCACAGCGCCATCTTCACAGGTTAGTACCTGGCACGTGAGAGAGAGAGAGAGTTCTTCTTCTTCCTCTTCTCAGTCCACCATCTCCCTCTCACCCTCTCGCTACCTAACTTCACTGCAGCAGCAGACTACGAGAGAGCGGGCTTGGTGACATTTGGATCCAGACTCGACATTGGGCTTCAGACATTGACGAGGGATTATCTGGGACTTGTACTGAAGACTTGGTGTTAGCGACATTCCCATCTCCCCCCTCTTCTTCGTCTGACCCCCTCCTCTTCGTCTGTGCATGGTCTGGACCTGGCGCATTCTTCCTGTGTGTAGCGCCAGGCCCCTTCACACCTTGTGATGAGGATGATGTATGTTTGGTCTGCATTGCGACATTGATTGAGCTAGTCATTGGTATTCTAGCATTCTGTCTTGTACTACGTACGGGAGGTCAGTCCTGGTCAGGTCAGGACTTATATCTAAGTCTTCCACTGCGCTACAAAGCACCATTTTTGTATGTATCAGGATGTACACTGCTTGTTGAGATTCCACCAGCACTGCATTGTCCATTCAGTCTTTTTCATCACATTGCGGTGGCTTTACATACATTGCCCAACTGGGCATGTATCACTATCTTAGGGATGTACTTCGTTTTGTTTGAGTCGCCTGACCATAGGTATGCTCTGGCTGTACTGTTCAGCTCTTTGATAGTTTGGTCTGGTATAGTCCAGATAGAGGCAATATACCACATCATTGAAAAGATGGAGGTATTGATGGCTAGGGCTCTTCCCAGCAATGAGGGGAATGTGGTACCCCATCTCCTCATTCTATTGATTTGATTGGTCAGCAGGTTTTGTGCCATTTGCGGGGCGGAGCCATCCTTGGTTACCATAAGTCCCAAGTACCTCATTGGTTCCTCAGGTCTTCCCCATATCATTTCTGCCTCAGGTCCCTCCATTCGGGGTATCTCCTCCTCTGAAAATCACCAGCCTATCGTCTTTTTCCAATTGATCTTCATTTCTGAGGCCCGCCTGAAAGCTTCCATTGCCCTGACTAGTGCTTTTATGGAGGAGTCAGATGCCCTTATGCGAACCGTGAGGTCGCATGCAAACATTATCACTGTTGGGAATTGGATGTGGTGAGGGGTACCGGTATTGAGGTCTGGCAACCTTTGGATTGAGGGGTCTTTGCGTAGGAAGGAGGCGATGACTTCCATGACAAAAAGGAAGGAAGATCGGTGGGGCTAAAGGGTCTCCTTGACGGACCGACCTGGAGATCGGATAACGTTCGGTAATAAGTCCATTCACGTGTTCACATCCTGAAGCATCGTTGTACAAGATCCTGACCCATTTCCTGAATTCAGGTCCCACCCCCAATTTCTCCATGTTCGCATTGAGAAAGGTCCAATTGACTTGGTCGTAGGCTTTCTGAAAATCGAAGAACAGGATACCTGTATTCATCCTCTTCTCTTTGACTTTTCTTGTAGCCCAATTCAGAGTTAAGATATTGTCTAGTATATATCTGCCCGGGATAAAACCAGCGTGATCTATGTGAAAGCATTTATCTGCGAGGTCCAGTATTCTGAACGCTAATGCTTTCGCCAGAATTTTGTAGGGGAGGGTAAGAAGGGAGATCGGTCTATAGTTACGAATGTCCTCCCGGTCCCCCTTCTTATACAGTAGGGTCACCACGCTGCTACTCAAAAATTCTCCCATCCCCCCTTTATCCCAGCTGTCCTTATAAAACTGAAGAAGGTCATTGCCCATTATGGGCCAGAACATTTCCCAGAATTCCTTGGTAAGACCATCGATTCCTGGGGATTTGTCGTTTTTCATGTTGTGGACAGCGAATTTCAGTTCCTCTAGCGTAATAGGTTTGTCTAGCGCTGCCGCCTGTTCCACTGAGATTGTCTTGTCTAGGTACTGTAGCATT